ATTATTATATAATTTGTTAATAAGGGAAGCTCCGTCTATTGAATTATACCCTAGTGCTAGACAAATCGTAAATATTGGAAGTAGTGTATTATACCAATGCCGAGTAACTGGAGGAATTCCTACACCTATTGTCAAGTGGACTAGACGCAATGGTGAAAGTTTACCTAGTCAAATGGAAGAGATTCCACCGGGAGTAATCAAGTATAGCAAAATTAAATAAAAACATCATAATATTTTATTTCAAATATACTTAATATCATCTCAATGTATTATGTTTTAGAATTACTGGTATGGAAGCATCTAGTGCAGGAGAATATGTTTGTGAAGCCAGAAACAATGCTGGCATGGCATCACCTATAGCTGTACTTGAAGTCCAATCTCTTCCTGTTATTAAGTTAAGGCCATCTGGTACTATAACTGTACTACCAGGAAAACAAGTTAAGCTTCGCTGTCAGGCTACTGGAAACCCATCACCCACCGTGACATGGACTAAGCTTACACCAGATTATCCTTCTTACCCGTAAGATTGGTTTGATTTACTGATTTATTGAATTCAGTTTTAACTAAAATTTTACTTTTGCAGGGCATCTCGCAGTAACTCAGGGTCTTCTGACAAAAAAAACAACAAATAAAATTTTATTGATATTTCTAGGAGAAAAACTAAAAAAAAATGAAAAATGAAAATGTCCCTAAACTGTTCAAAATAAATCAAAATATTTTGAAAATGTTATCGTGTATAGAAGATGCAAATATAAACAACCCGTGAAAATTTCATGTACCTACGGTCATTTGTTTTAAAGTTACACCAAAAACCAAATTCAATTTTCTGAAAAATCAATTTTGCGTAAAAATTCCCATTTTTCCTTAATTTTTCTTTTGTTTTTCTTGGCGCTTTTGAAAAGTACTGGGAATTTTAAATTTTGACCTCCCCAATGCACCAACGATATTCACTTTCCAATCGAACAAGATACTGAAGTCGAAAATCGAAGCATTATTTCGACTACTTATCGTGTACACAGACACAAAAAAAATAAAAAAAAAACACACATCATTGTAAAATCAATACATTCATCGTTTCACTCAGAATCTAAAATTATTGCCAAGGACTATTAACCTTAATATAAACATTTTAATAATTGAGAAATTACTCTTACAAATTTTAACTTAGGTACATCAAAATTATCCACTAAATAATTTACAATAAAAAAGGGTAGGGGGTTTTCATTCTAATAACAAAAGTGTGAACAACCCCAGGATACTCCTTTAGTAGTACAAAAAATCTCAAGAATTTGAAAAATTAAAATTCCAAAAATCAGAATTTGAATAAATTCAATATGGCAAAAATGGGGTGGCATGCTTGGTGAATCATTCTGAATACAATTAAAACTAGACAGTCACATTTTAAATATTTTGATGCGCTTTTTAATTTATTTATCTTCGCTTTACACTTTATATTCTAAACCACTGCTTTGTGTAAGTAGAACTATAAATACAAAAACTATAGGCATTTTATACATGTATAACATTTATATTTCCTTAACTGCCTATGTATATTATATATTGATGTACTGTACTTGTATCAACTTTGTAATACGTCCTGCACAATATTGTTATTATTTTGTGTTGTCTCTGCAGACAATACATATTTTATCATAATTACTTTTCTTATGTATAATGCACCAAAATGTTATTGCTAAATTTTAGTTTTAATATTATATGATTTTATTACTTCTTGCACGATTTTGTCAACTTTTATTGTGGTTTTCGCTTTTGGTGATGGTGGTTGTCTATGTTAACAAAACTTCAGCATCTTGTCTGAATGACGAATTCCGCTGTAACGACGGGCAATGCATTAATTTTATAAATTATTGCGATGGCGTATCGGACTGTTCCGACGGTTCGGACGAAGAAGATTCGTGTTTGGAGAAGAAAAATAAAATTGGTTTGTCCCCGAGTTTTTTTTTTTCATAACTAACTTATAGGTACACACATTTTGCTTTCTTGATTGAAGAAATTCACCAATCAACCACACTGGAACTATTCACTTGTCCAATAAATAAATGTACATAATACATGCTCAAATGCTTACGGCTATACTATAGTTATTTTTGTTTCAATACGTTAAACTCATCAAGAAAGCACTATACCTAACCTAACTACATATTATATTGTATATAAACCATTAATCATTATTATATAGATACGTATATTATTTCAACCTAACTCAGGTAAAACTGTAAAATTTATTAATACATATTACCGGCTGTCTTATATTAATAGTACTTACTTGTGTTTTGATATTTTAAACGACCAAACGTAACTTTGTATACATACTGTGTAAAGGTCGGAACTCTGGTCTTTACATTAAGCCCAGTCAAGGAACGGTGTACATCGGCGACGTTCTAGAGCTTGAGTGTATTTGGACCGATGGCGCAAGCGCTAGCGAGTACAGTGAAATTACGTGGGCCAAATTAAACGACGACATGGAAAACAATGTTGAAAACCACGGACTATTCTATCTTAGTCCGTGTTGAAAACCTAGGATCCGTAATCAAGTGCGTTATTTATGGGTTTAACAAAATCGCTCAGTGATGATTTAAATTTTAAAATTTTTTAATAACATCGGATTGACCACTACAGGTTTAATGACGTGAGACCAGAGAACACCGGAACTTATAGATGTACGAAACGAGATAAAAACAATAACATCGTCACTGAAGAGTACGAGTTGACCGTTACGCGTAAGTTATAATTTTTTTATGTTAATTAAAAACTGTCTAACCATGAATTTATACAATTACGCTCCTTGGATTTGCTTTACCTATTATGATTTTCGTAAGTGTTTCAAAACATAAGGTGTTCACTTAATATCAATTGTATTTCAATTGTATTTCTCGTTTACATAGCGACTCCATCCGACGCAGCTTCGCCATCAGTGAGTACCAAGTACGCGCCATACGGAAAATCTGTTGTAATAGAATGTAACAGCGATCTATCGCTGCCAGTTGAATATTCTTGGGCCAAATTTGGACTTCAAATGGAACCTATATACGATCGCGTAAGACATGATGTATAAAATACATTTTCCACCATTATAATAATTATCAATATTTTTTAGAGAAACTCAACGCTGTACAACGTTACTGAAAAGAGTGTGGGACTGTACTTTTGCACAGCTTAAAACGAAATGGTGAGAATGGATATACCAACGGTGCTTGTCGTCACCGGAATCGTACCCTCATTCCGCGGCACCGACAGCTACCTAGCGTTCCCGACCCTCCTTAACACTTATTTGGAATTAAACATCGAAGTTCACTTCAAACCCGAAATGAACGATGGTACGTTATTGTGGCGTTATAATAATAATATATAACCCTTCTTTTATTTATCGGTTTTAAATTCGTTGTTTATGATATTGTTTTCTAAGGATTGATATTGTACAACGGTCAGAAACCTGGTGGCTCGGGCGACTTTTTCTCGTTCGGGCTCCGTGACGGCATTCCCGAGTTCCGTTTTGACGTCGGATCTGGGGCTGCGATCATAAAGGCGACAGAACCAGTGACATTGAACGAATGGCACGTGGCTAGGCTCGAAAGGGTTAAAAAACACGGTAACATGTACATCGACGAACGCGGTCCATACCGTGGTGTCAGTCCAGGTACATTCCAAGGAATGGATTTGTCTCAACTCTTGTACATTGGCGGAGTTCCCGACTTTGGGTCGATACACAAAGACGTCGGTTTCCAAACCGGATTCATCGGTAAGTGCTCACAACGGCTGCAAACCCGCGGTGTAGCTAACTCACGTTAGCCCCCACATAAAAACTTTAATTTTAAACAAATCTCCTTTATAATATATCAACATTTTAAGTGACAAAAATATAATTTCAAATTTTTACTGATAATATAATGATTTAGTAATTGTTATGAAATTGGTAAGAACCTACCAATTTAATATTTCATGTACGGTAAAAAAAAACTACCAATATATTCATGAATAAATTTGAAAACACTTTTAATTTAACTTGGTATGCCATTGGCACTGTAGCATAATATATAGTTCTCAATAATAGTATCATACCTACTGTTCTCTACAGGTTGCGTCAGCGGTTTTAAATCGGAAACCCGTACGTATAACTTGATGAAGGACTCGGTGGACAAACAAGGTTTGGGCACGTGTGATGTCTGTTCCAACAATCAATGTTTGAACCAAGGTATCTGCCAAGAGGCTCAAACCAGACAGGGGTACACGTGCATATGTCAACCCGGCTACAGCGGCGAGTATTGTGACAAGATAAGTGAAGTTTGCACGCCGGCAGGGCCGTATTTGAGGGGGGCAAGTGTACCTTGTTGCCCGGGGCGGCAAATTGTTTAGTCCATTTAGGGGGCGGCAAATTTATGTTGATAAATTATTATTGTATATTAACTGTTGAAAAAAAATAAATAAATTTACATAATTTTAATTATTATTTTAACCTTCTATTAAAAACATTATTATAGCTCGAAAAGGTATAATATTGTTAACATCAGTTTGTCGGAAAATAATATAAATTATATTATTAACATACTATATATAAATAGATTGGGTTTTTGAACGTAAGAACGGCAAGAATCAGGGAGGTTAATCCACTAGCTGAGTATTCTCCGTGTGCTGCACACTCTCTAAATTTGGTTGGTAGTTGTGCAGCAAATTGTTGTGAAGAAGCCTGTCATTTTTTTGAACTGTTACAAGCAGTATACTGTTTTTTTACGGCGTCGATTCATCGTTAGGAAATGTTGAATGTAAAAGTCACAAAAATCACGAAAATTAGCAAATTATTTTGAGTTAAGAATTCGCAAAAATTTTTCTTTTTAAATCTAAGATTTGAAAATGTAATACAAGATTACTCATAAGTTTGTCTACCTTTATCAATAAAAAAATCTCTACCGGACAGTAAAATTAAATTTTTATGAGCGTTTGAAATTCAAATTTTTACAACATTGGATGTTCACTCGATTTCCTTATTTTGTTGTTATTCATAAACGAATAACTATAGATACATGAAAATTTCACTGAATTTTTATATTAGCATTTCCTATACACCATACAATTTTGAAAATATTTTGACTCTTTTTGAGCTGTTTACGGATATTTTCATTTTTCAATTTTTTTAGTTTTTTTTTCTATGATTATAAATTAAGTTTTATCTGTTGGGCCAAAAAGTGTAAAAATTTAATACAAGGCTCCTGATATATTGTTACAATATCAGTTGAAAAATATTAAAAATACATAGGCACAATTTTTTTTTATAAGCATTTAAACATCGAATTTTGACAGAATTTTTCAAAATCTCGAAAATTATTAATCATCGTAATTAATAAATTATTAAATGTTCAGTTTTTATAGCTAAGGATTGAAAATTTAAAACAAGATTCCACGTAAGTAGTTAATTCTCTTACCGAAAAACCTAAAAAATATACAATCACAGTTTATTTTTATAGTCATTTTATGTTCAAATTTGGACGAAATTACATATTAAAAAACCTAGTTATTTTGTTGTGATTATATAATATTATTCGTGGGTACCTACTTGAAACTTCTAAAGTGTACTATTATATATCTATGATAGTATCAGGGTTTGTTATTGATGTAGATGTATAACATGTTATAAGTACCTAAAGTCAATTTTTTTTTTAATACCATAGATATGTATATAATTTGTCTTAAACGACTTAAACCTAGACTGACATACCGTCTTCGCTCAGAATCGTTTTTCTTATACAATGATATTATATCATTGCATTCAAATTTAATACCATCCATTATACAGTGCCCCACTTGTGACCTACAGTACAGCAGAGCGACATCCACTTACCCACCTTAATTTTATTCTCAAACCTTCAGTCCAGGAGAAAGTTATACATTTTTTTTATATATTTTTATATATTGTTATTTATATACCTATTTAGATTATAATTATTAATACCAAATACAATACTTAATAATAAATGATACATTATTTACTTAAAACTATTTTCTTAAATTGACATTGGTTTTCCTATATAAATAAATAACTATAATAGAAGGAATTTTGTTTAATGTTCATAATATAATATTATTCATAATAAATTTTACAATAATAAATTACGCACATAATATGTATTTAATATTATAGTGTATATTGTATATACATTTAATTCGCCAATATTATATAAGTGAGAGTAGCATATTAATATATTATTATGTTTATGTACCTAGTTGGTTCAATTTTCTTTGTACCAAAATTGTATACAACAAAATAGTTACACCTTACTTTTTAAGAAATAGTATCTTTTTTTTGGTGGGGGAGGGGGGGAGGGGCAGCGGAAATATGTTGCCCCGGGGCGGAAATTGTCCAAATACGGCCCTGCACGCCGGGTAAGTTGGAAAGGTTTTTCGAAATCGCACTTAGCAAAATTGACTCGTTGTATAACAATTAAATCATTTTTGCTATTGAAATTGTTTGCGATTATTATAGGAATCTGTGGGCTCGGTGAATGTTTGGCTGGACACGAAGAAATCGAATGCAAATGTAAAATCGGCACGCTCGGGAAGAGATGCGAACGTACCGTTGAAATCGTCGAACCGTATTTCGGAGGCAAATCTTATCTAGCGTTCCCGGCACCGACTTCGCAACAGAAGTATTTAAAAAAAAAACCACTCTTACCCAAAATATATTGATTTAATGATTTACATACATCGTTTTCTATAGCGGTCGGAAAATGTTTAAATCGTATTGTTTTCACGTATTTCAGAGTTTCAGACTAACGATATCCTTGAAAATCAATCCGGCGTCCTTGACTGACGGTGTGATTCTGTACGCCGCTCAAAACCACCAAGGAATCGGCCAATTCATGTCAGTGACGTTGAAGAACAGACAAGTGGAATTCCGCTACACCATGGCCGGTATGTTAAAAGTTGATAACCTGCAAGGCTCGTTAAATTATGAATTCGCTTGTTTTTTGTGAAAATTATTTTGACAAATATGATCCTGTATACCTAAGGTTAATTCTAAAATTAAAAACATTTTAGCACATATTTTGGGTTTTTTACATAATACATTATATATACACCATACATAATATTGTCAAAATATGTTAGTTTTCATTGTATATTCTGACTTTTAAAATAATATTTCAAAAATTGTATATAGCATAATTCCCAAGCCCTCATTATTATTTTGCTTATGATATTATATTGATCTTATTTTTAGTATTATACTTGTTATCGAAACGACGTGTTGTAACTCTTTAATTCCGTTCAGGTATGACGTCCATGCTGTGAAGCAGACAAAATTCGGAAATTGGAGAGTGGACTACGATAACCGTTAGCCGTAACACGGAAACACAGGAATGCAAATTGTCAGTAAACAAAGAAACGCCTATCAGATCCACCGAAAACGGTAATATGCACGCCTTGGAACTGAAAACCCACCTGTTTGTGGGCGGTTACGATTCGTACAAGGTGAAAATCGCTAAATCCGTGGAAGTCGAGAACAATTTCAAAGGATGCATAAAAATGGTAATGTCTGTAGTCTCTGGATGTTTGATTTTTATAATTATGTATAGATCAAGAAGATCTAACAATTGTGTTGAATGCTAACTTACAGATATAGTTGAAGCTGGACTAACTTTTGTGTCCACAACTTCACCATACGTTATATTATATTTGTATTTACATAATCTTGACATAAAGGTAGCTTCGACATTTTTTTTGTTTCTATTATTATTATACATTTTAATTACACTCGATATAGGTACACGCCGTTACGTTACTCGAGAATTAATAAGTTCGGAGTCAAATTAATTTTTGTTTATTGACATATAGTCCATATAGATATAACGCATTAATATATTTTTTTATAAAGAATAAAAAAACCTACATAAAAACTTGAAAGTATAATAAAACTAAAACTTCTGTCAAATTGCGATCAAAGCTTGTCAAATTAATTTAATTATAGTTTCATATACTTCTCACTATAATATAATACAATAAAAAATAAAAATCAATAAATAATTACCTATAAATTAATCATTATTTATAATTTAATATACGTTTAAAATTGAAACACTATGCCTGATCTTCTTGATACATCTGGCGCAATATGCACATCATGTATGCTTACACCAAATGCCCAATTAATAAACAAAATGTCTGTTTCAGCTCAAAGTCTCCGGAATGGACTTGGACATGATAAGTTCTACAGTGGATTCCGCTAACACTGAAGACTGCGTAGTTGCTCGGGGAGACGCCTGTTCTTATAACCACTGCAAGAATTACGTGAACTGCCACACCGTGTCCAAACACTACGAATACGTATGCGAATGTGAAAACGGATTCAAGTAAACCGATTCCGATCGAATTGAATAATATTATGATTATGATTTTTTACCAGTCGTGTATAATACTGAAATGGGACGTGTTTATACGTGTTTTTATATATAGTGGTCCGAAGTGTGACGTCGAAGCGAAGTTGTGTCCGACGCTGAAACCTTGTCTCAACGACGGCATCTGCACAGACATCGATTCGAGCTCGTACAGGTGCGATTGCCCTCTCGGACATTCGGGACCGACGTGCAACGAAAGTGCGTATTGATCGTGGTAGAAAATTTTTAATTTTTGTATTTTTAACGCGGAATTTTTTCGCAGAGGTGGTGTTGGACATCACAGCCAATTTTAGCGGCAACAGTTACCTGCAATTGGAAAACAGTCTACTGGACCGGAACAAGAGGGAACATTCCATATCGATGACGTTCACCACAGATTCAGCCAACTGTCTGTTGTACTGGCAAAGCCAAGAACCTAACAATGATGGCGTGGTCGACAATTACATCGCCATCTCGAGTGAGCCAATAACCGTCAATTATATTAATAATAAATCGTTGCAAATTCAGTTTAATATTTCAATTTTTTTTTTATATAATTAGTATTAATTTCCGTTTAAATAAATCGTGTCTCGTTTTGCAGTCGTCAACGGCTACTTGGAACTGAGTCACAGGTTCCAAGGCAGATCGACACCAGCAATCCGAGCCACAGACCATCACGTCAACAACAACGAACCCCACGTGATATTGATCCGCGGAAACGGGGCCGAATGGTCTCTGGAACTGGATAGGTCAACCACAGAATACGGTAAAGAACGCGACGTGGACATCCAACAGCTCTTGGAATCCACCGATTTGATATATATAGGTAAGTCAAAACAGCGCTTATTTATTACCTATAGGTACCCTAGTCAGAGGTAGGGAGTACCTGCCTAGGGAGTCGTGACGACCACTCATCGAGACACATTTGTATCGATTCTTTGAATTTAAATTATTATACTTATATTTCTAATTTCAATGCATTATAATTAATAATTATGTATTTAAATCAATTAAGTTGTAGATTTATGTTATGGTAACTACTAACTATTATTAGTTGTTATCAAGCAATGAAATTAATGTTAGGTTTTATTTTGCATGGATTAGCACTGAACAGTAGTAAAAACAACTATATATATCAAGTGTGTAGGGAAGTTTTTTTATTTGATTAGCGTTTTTTAAGTTTAAATCATAGATGTCAATAATCAAGAACTTAACATAGGTACTTGACGCCGGTCCTTACTCCTTAGTGGTTTTAGTAAAAAAAAAAGTAAAACCTGTCCGTGGGTTTTTGAGTTTTGAAAAAAGCGAATTCTTTTACACAGGTGGAGTACCGGAAGTCATACTGACGACGAACGACAACCATTACAAAGGGTATGAGGGTTGTATCGGTGACGTGCGTGTCCAGGACTCAGGATACGTGAATCTGGGCCAAAAGTCGTTGTCCGGCAAAAACGTTGCTTCGTGTAACAGGTAATTACGTCATACCATGGACGATATTATTTTATGTGCATTAATATAATATAAAATATTATTCGCAGGGCTGTGAAAGCGCTGTAAAAAACTTATTAAAGAACTTAATTCCTTCTACAAAAGCCCAATAAGACAATTTAAAAAACACTCAAACTCATTATATGTTCACAGCCCTGATTGTGTTTTTGTTTGCCCAAGCTAATAAGTTATTTATTTTATCTTTGTCTTTCCGACGCGCTGCTTTTCCGCGACTCGTGACGGGTAAATAACACTAAAATAACACTAATCGATCGTTTTCGTTTACGACTCAGCTATTATTATAAAAAGAACGACTTGAGGCGTATACCGTCTTCGTTGATATTCACACAAACCACTAACGACCAAGTGGTGTTTCAGGTGGACCCGCGGTGGCCCACGGACCCCGCGTGGCCGGACCTCAACGAAACCGGAAACGTTGTGTCCGACACCAATAACGAATGCTTTTGTACACACAATAACTTTAGCATAAGGCTTATGTTAACTACGTTGTTTTTGATATTATTGTTGACTAATTTATAACGTTTCGTGGGAAAATATTACCATTTTACCAATATGTTATTATCCTATGTATGTATATATATATATATATATATATATAAATTAATATATTATATACCACACTGGTTGTGATTTTATGTTATGTACCATAATAGAGTATATTATGTATATTGTATATAATATATACTTATTTATAATAAGTGCTATTACGATAAGTATTTATTATAAGTATTATATTATTATGAAAATATGTATTTTGTCTGATGCGTATACAGTCGACGGCTGCAAAAAATGTTAAAATAATTATTCGCAAATCGTTTCGTTTTACACCGTCCGACTGAAAAACATAGTTATTAGGTATGTATCACCCAATATCCTTATTCGTTGTACATCGTAAAAATGCATTAAAAAAATAATTAACACGAACTTTTATATTTTTTTATAAAAAAATAATATAATATAGGTACCTATATAATATTAACGTTTATTACTTAAGATGTCACTAAGGCATTTTAAAAGAAAAAGTCAAATTTAAGTCAATTTTACGCTAAAAACATATCTATATTTTATATTATAATTTAACGGAAACATGCACTTTTGAATGAGGGATACATATTCCCCTTTATAATATTGCCCAAACGTATATGTAACGTGAACGACAGGGCACGGTATATTCGAAAACCTACACACATTATATATAAATATTTATATATAGGTACCTACGATCTACCACGGCTTCTGTAAGTCTGTATAATAATATACTTTTAAAAAAAAACGCAGTAAAGTTAAGTAAAGTAAGTTTTCGCACATAATATTAACAATTAGTAACAACTTGTCGCATTGGTGCATTATATAGGATGATGCTATAATGAATTATATTGTATTCGACGTTCGTGCTCTTGCCTCTTATTAGTATCAATGTTTTATTAATTATGATTTAAAAATAGTATCTAAAAGTAGGTACTATATGAAAACAAATAAAGGTAATAATAAACGAGACAATTGTTTTTTCACGAGGAGGAAATATAAAAGTACGGTGTTTATTGTTTATATTACTTTTACAGTCTGATGTTTGTAATGTGAGTTTATCGTCGGTAAATATGCTGATCGATTTTTGTTGTTATTCTTGTTGGAGTCAGTGGCGTATTTAGGGAGGGGGTGACCGGGGGCAATTGCGGAGTCCTCAAAGGGGCGCCGTCGCTAGAGGTTATAACAAAAATATTTTTTTATTTTATTGGATTTGTTACGAAATTATATTGGTGATAGCTGATAAGTGAATCCCTGTATCTTTCTTATAATATCTTTTACATTTCTATACATATTTCTATATCAATAAAATTGAATCGCTGGATCGAGCGTCCGATCGCCTGTTGTGTAAAGTAAACTTTCAAAAATGTCAAGATACAAAGATACAAAAAAAATCCCGTTTTTTAAATTATATTTTCGGTTTTTAGTTATAATACAGGTATCCATTTTTTTTCGAGTCGGTATTGATTTTAATGATTAATGCCGGTTTCCAATGTTTTTCCGGTTTTGGTTTTGATTTTGTTCTCGGTTTCGGTTTTATAACGGTTTATACCGGTTTCAAGCCCTGCACTATTAACTGAGATAAAAAGTAAATTGTAAATTAGAGGGGGCTTAAAAGTTTTTTGTGACAATGAATAAAAGGACACTGTGAAAAGAAAGGGGCGCCAAAATCGTAACTGGTTGGAGTAAGTAATTCTCTCGTGTTTGAAAACAGGGGACAGTGAAAGAAAATTATGTTTAATTTGAATTCGGTTTTATAAAAAATGTCTTTATATTATATTGTATTTAAAAATACGGATACATTAAAATAATTAAGAAGCACCTAATTATAGACAAAATAATAACACTTATTTTGTTAGTAATATTTATTTTAATGATTAAAGTAAACATAGCACAATTTTATTTTTTTTTTTAAATTTATTTGAATATATACAATCTGTAATAATAGTTACAATGAGCATATGAACTGGATTACAATTGGCTTTGAAAGCATGAGGAGAGTAGTTACCCAGCAGTAACACTCGACGATAGCACAAAATAATTTTAAAAATCATTGCCCATATGCGAGTAAAAATTAAATATGATCTATACCTGAAAAACTGGTGTCTTTAATAGTTTAAGAATTTTAGCATCGCCTTCACCTCTAATTGTGCCAATGCTCAAATTTAAACAAAAATAAATTTGACCGTGTAAAATTTCGTATTTTTATTGCGATCGAAGATTTAACTAATGTTTTCGTTTTAGCCAAAACCTGTGAAACCTGTAACGTCATAATATTATTGTGCATACTCGATACGTATATATTCGCGATAAGCTATTTCAATTTACAGGGTAGTGTCTAGTCCAGTGGTTTTCAACCTTTTTCGGATCGAGACCCCCCCCCCAATTTTTTATTTTTTTGGGTATTCTGGTTTTATAAAAATCCAAAATGTATCAAATTACTTGTAATTTCATTAAACATTTTCATCGAAAGATAACTCGATTATTTAGTTCTTATTCCATAACTAAACTTAAATCAGAATCCATTTCATTTATATGAATAGAAAATGTATTTCTTATCCATCCTAACTTTTTTTCTGGAAATGTTCCAAACTGTGTTAAAATTGTTTTTCAAATTTTTGATATGAAGTAATAATATTTTCTTTATTTTTTTAATATCAAATATTTCATTGCTACTCATAAATTCTGAAAAAACATGAAAACCAACAATGGATACTTACCTTCAGTATGAAGAGATATTTCTGTATGATCAGATACCATTTCATTCCCGCTTTATTTTGTTAAAAAAATCATTTTTAAAAATCATTTCGTCTATTATTTTTGCGACTCCCAAACCTATCATTCTCGACCCCCAAGTTGAAAACCACTGGTCTTGTCTATAGTTTGTACACCTAGCGTAACGGACGTCGTTATAGGATAAAAAATAGCTGGCACGCCGAATTTACTATAGGTATTGTTATTATCAAGGCTGTGAATTAAATGCACTAAGTAACACTGTTATAAATATGCATGGCGCATGCACTTGTACATTAAAAATAACCAAAATATGCAAAAATGTTTTAAACGAGTCTTGTCAAGGTTTGGTACATTAACTGCCTTATTTTTTTTTTTTATTAAATTATATTATTTATAATAATGACCTATTTCCTGCGTTTAAACAAAAATAACATAAGTATAGGAGGGATACTCGGTAGGTACCTAAATCACTTGAAATTTTTTCTTCGTAATTTATTGTATTCACTGACAAGCGTCTGTGGTCAACTTTAACAAAAACAAAAACACATAACTTAATATTTATATTTTATTAAAAATAAGAATAATATTATGCAATGTTAATTATGCAATGTTAATTAGATAATAATGTTCAATTTTTGTCACGACTTGCACGGCACTCGAGATCGTTTGTGTGTTTGACGTATATTATAATAATATACACTTAGTAATTAAATTTGTTTAAAGCAATAAATGTCTTTTAAAGGTTAATATTTTTATATTTTTACATATACGCACCTATACGTCTATAGTTAGTAACTGGTTTTCTTTTTACTACCACTAATGCCGGGTCGCATGAACAATCGCTAAATATTTAACGAATCAATATTTAGCTAATGGTCCCTCCACACATGATTTAGTTGATTGGTCCTTTAAATTGTATTATTGAACCATTAAATTAACACATTTTTCATGCAACCCCACATGAGTGTTGTAATAATTGTAATTCTGCGAGGGCGTCTACGAGAACAACGTGGATTCTTCTGCTTTAGTTATGGTCGATTAAATATATTTTTAAAATTTTTTTTTTTTTAAGTGATCCTGTCAGGACTCGCAGACACTCTTGTGCTTGACACTTGTTAAGAAAATAGTAAATACAATATATTTTATACAAATATGATTTCAGAATAATTCATTTTATGATGATAGTTATTAGTTTCAATGATTATATATACTTAATAGTATAGTGAATCGTAGGGTTTTTGTTGATTTTTAAATTTTAAAGTGAATTATATTAACTATGAAAAAATTAAATAATATTAATTTTAAAATGCTCATGCCTCTTTAAAAAATAAATTAATTAATAGTCTACAACAGGGGTCTCCAAACTTTTTTATTCAAGGGCCACAAAAAAAACCAAATGCTCTTAGCGGGCCAAAAGTTTATTAAAACATATAATTTGTAACTTTATGATAATATATTTACCTATATAAATAATATATTTACTTTATATTTTTGTATAGAATATTGTTTACTTTACAATATACTTAAATAAAAATAAATAGGTATAAATATAATATAATATAAATATATTTTTGAAATAATTGTTTTATCTATATTTACCTATGCGTCCTATGCGGGCCACGGGCCGGTTAAAACTTGTTCGCGGGCCGCATCCGGCCCGCGGGCCGTAGTTTGGAGACCCCTGGTCTACAAGATGCATTAGAGAATATTTTTACTTTTAAATTTAATGATTTCTTCAATTCATCCTTAAGGTCCCCACACACTGCAGCGGTGGCGGTGGCGGTGGCGGTGAATTGCTATAGGACACATTGTGAAGCCAAGACAATAGAATTTAAAGCCACCGCCACCGCCACCGTTGCAGTGTGTGGGGATCTTTATGCATTAAAATTAATGACACAAAATAGATTCTGCCTGAACACAAATTTGCCATACTCTTGTAAGACAGACACAATACCTACGTGTGAGTGTGTGACACGATATACGTGTGATCCAAAAGGATACCAAGGATACAATAATACAATATAGCATTATCTCAATCCAATCACACGTCCAATTCACAGTATCCTCTTTCAATATTATTTACCTTCATTGTACGGGACAGCTACATCACTATCTATGCCACCTACGCAGTGCCGGATTTAGAACAGGTGCCGCCCTAGGCCCTTTTAAATAAGCCGCCCCTACCCTAAGAAAAAAAATGTAGAATTTATTATTAATACATTTACAATACAAAACAAGTAATTATAAATTCAAATAAACAATAATACATCTTTTTTTCACTCTCTTACAAAATTTGCGGCCCCCAAAAATTTGCTGACTTAGGCGTAAATCCGGCCCTGCACGTACGTGTCAATCATTAATTAACAACATATCTTTTTGAAAAAGCTATTCTTACCTAATGATAATATATAAAATAATACATAATTTGTTTTGTTTAAAACTGCTTCTGCTTATGTCGACGGCGGGCCAATCATAATGGAGTGGTAAAAACACGACTAAAGAAAAACACAACAACCAAGACGTATTCTGATTTCTTGCCTTTTGTTTTATTGTTTTCAGACACGACGTCAACAATATCATTCAAAGAAACGATTAATATGATCGCCGAACAAAACGCACTGCAGTCCAACGACCGCGGGCGACGCTTAAGACAACAATAATAATATTATATAATTTCGTAAAACAAAAAAACGTTGTTTTTATTATTTAGTTTAAATCTATTTTATAATCAAATCGCTTTTAACGACGCCTACTTTTGTAATTTTTAAACTCATTAGCGTTTATAGTCTGCAAAAAGAATCATAATATTATGTAATAATAATTTTGTCATGCAGTTATAATATATAATAACACACCGGCCTGTTGTCATACGTAATATTATGTATATCGCAACTCTGCAGCGTAGTTATATGTAATTTTTCATATTTTTGTATTAATTTTTACTGTTTCTGTGCGTCGCCAAAAGCCACCAAACGAAATCGTTATTATTCGTAGCCTATATATACATATTATTATTATATAAAAAATAAATAGTCTCGTAATTCAAACATTCGATCAATCATCACATGACGTGTTCTCGAACAACGACTCACTCGAGGCTCGCTGTTTTCGTTCTCGTACAATAATTGAATTCCGCGGCGGACAGAACAAATTAATCTCCTCCCTCTCGGCCTCACCGCGTAGACTAATTTTTATTATTATTGTATTATTAAATTTAACACTATTATATTTATACATTGACTATTAATAAATCGTATATCATATCGTGCCATACATTTACTATATTATTTCAATCTACCTATACATAACTATACAACTTAAGCTGCAGGGTATCTCATCATACTTAAAACTTCAAAATGATTAAAATACTAGTAAGTACAATTTTTTTTATTGATATCGAGTTAAAATTTTACAATTGAATTATAATTAAACAAAAAACTAAAATTGTATTATTAATTTATCATAGGTAGTTTAAAATCATAAGGACTTGAAACTTTATGAGATTATGCGATTATGCCAAACTATATGTGCTGCTGAAATATTGTAGATTTATATAAACTAAATACATATAAGAATCGCTGCTTCTCAGAAACCTTATCGATCTAGCATTGATACAACCAATTTATATTGAAGTTTATTATTATTATATTATAATCAGTGCCGAAACAACCGCAGGGGCAGCCGGGACAATGCCCCTTAGAGGGCCGCTAATCGTTTACTCAGGGGGGCCCGACAGCGCTTCGCATCTATTTTAAATTTTTAAATTTTTAGGTTCACAACCATCCCCCCACCATGAACACTTTACAAACCTAATATTTGTACTTACAATATAATTATAAATTATATTAATTTATTGGTAATAAATCTAATTTATCACCCACCCAAATTTTTTTTGTCGGTAGGTAACCTATGCGTATATTACAAGTTACAACGAATTAAGAACGATTTTGTGGAAATCAAAAGTTTATAATTGAAAACGACGGGAAAATTTGAATTTGGCAGTCAGACTTAGTTTAAAGTTTTATAGCTAATTGAAATTTTTGGTATTTTCAAATATACCCTGCGTATATTAGTCACTCGTACGCCGCGCTCCCACGGACAAATAAAATCAAAAACATCCCTCGACTTGTTATGTAAAAACACCATGGGTGGATGTAAGAATTATTTTTGCACCATAATTTTTAAAGGTTTGATTTACCTAGGTTAAAAAAAACAATTTTAATTTGTTATACTTAAGCTCAGTACGCTTTAAGCGTTGTATGGGCGCGTAAAACACTGAAAATCGTGAACTTCATAAGGCTATACCATAAAAACTAATTATTTCCGGCAACTAGTTGCAACACAAAATACATTTTATGATTAATTCGTTGTGGTAAAAAAAATCATTTATTAATTTTGTCTGTATTTAAGTTTTAAATTATACTGGTACAACTCTATCTGGCAGTCTTTTAGACCGCGTTAAAGACTATGATAATTAGTTAACGTCTAAATTTCTGTCCTATCCTAACCTAACCTAACTTAACCATTATTTAAATATTTTCTTTCATTGTTATGTTTACAATATCGAATACCTTGATAGTTAGTAGGAAAAGATCATTGCAAAGCCCAAGAAACCATTGGATCCACTAACCATAGGTTTATCTAATTAACCTTCTTATGACTTATTAAGACACTTTAAATAAAAAGATCCTGAGTCTTTTGCCGAACTTAAGTGTTTGATTATCAAGTTATCCTTCTATTGTTGACACCTTAAGCTTAAACCATATACTATGGATGGAGCCATACTTAGTTCACTAGCCATTGGCGCATCAATAGGGGGGGGGGGGGAAGGAGCAGTTACTCCAGGCGACAGGGACGGCCAAATATTTAGGTGCGACAAAAAAAAAAGTAACCTAACCCATGGTAGTTTTACATGACAAGTGGATGGATGTTTTAGATTATAATTGTCTGAGCGAGCGCAGCCGGGTATATATGAAAATAGGTACCAAAAATTTCAATTAGCTATAACTTTCGAATAAGTCTGATCGCCAAATTCAGACTTCAATGCCATTTTCAATTAAAAACTAATGATTTCCGGCAAATAATTTTTGCAATATTGTTCTTAATTAGTTGTAACTTGTACTATCGCGATGGAGTGTTGTCCGACGATTTAATTTATTGGTTAAAACCGGTTTCTTTTTAGGAGTAAATGACGTTATCACTGGAAGTAAAAAGAGTGTTTCAATTTGCCGTTCTTCGTGGTAATTCACTTTGATCGGGACCAAGAAGATAATGTGAAAATTCATAGACGCGCCAGCAAAATCTGACTTTGTTAGTATTTAGGTTTTAGAACTAAAATTTACTTTTGAAATTAAATATTCTAATAAATTGTGCACGACAACATTTTTAGAAAAATTAAATAGCAAGTATGAAGTATGAAATATTACTTTATCGATCTTTAATGACTATGTTATGATTTTACAGCTAACAACAACTTCTTAGGTCTCGCAAACTTAACCTCACTCCGATAATTGGTCGCTCATCTGTAGTGGATAAGCCGAAATCTACCCCACCTCGCTGTCTGAAGATCAAGACCTATAAATTTGTCAATTCGAAAGAGGTGTTTATTAAATATTATTTGCTATATAAAATAACACGGTCTACATTTTATACTGGCAACTATAGATGCCTGTAAACAAAATGAAGACTTTTTTTCCATTTTAAATCGACGCGTGACGACACGACTCCGTGGGATCCCCTTATGCATTAATTCCGCGGTTTTAGCTATAACTAAAACGGATTTCTAGAATTTCACACACCTCCTAAACCACGTATAGGGTTAAATAATATTTCAAATTAATAAAGATATGAATATCGGATATCAACTCGTTCCAACTATTTGACACCCTCACAACAAATGAACTCTGTTGTAGCTGAATTGCCTATACAATGCGCCGTGTTAGCATAATTTTGTATTGCGTTTTTTTTAAATATATTAAAACTATATTATTAATTATTATAATATTATAATTTATGATTTCCAGGAAAAATGATCAAAATAGCAAAAATAAAGAACAGTAACGTCTTAACCGTGCTGAGTGTGCTGAGTCTAAATCAGGTAAACGAATTTTAAATAACAAAAAAAAAGAATTTAGAAAAAAGAATACCGTAGGAACACACATTAAAGAGTTCCAACTAAAATGTCCAGGACCTTAAACAGAAAAAACATATTCGAAATAATTAGTTAATTAAAGAGAGTATATTCATAGGGCAACTGCAGGTCCTAAAAAAAAAAAATTGAAGGGGAGTGTTTGCGCAGGCAGGCAAATGCATTTTTGAAAACCAAAAAAAAAATTTAGAAAAAATTATACAGTAGGAAAACAAGTGAAAGAGCTCAAATTAAAATGTCCAGAATCTTAAACAGAAAAAAATCTGACGATGATAAGCTCATAGAAGTATGATAATACAAAGGGCACCTGAAGGTAATCAATAAACATGTCTGTGCAAAAAATTTAACTAGAGTCAAATTCTTAAAAAAAAATTGAAGGGGGATGTTGGCGCTCGCAGGCAAATGCATTTTAGAAAAACAAAAAAAAAAGGTGGGTAAGTGGGTGTCGCTTTGCTGTACAGTAAGTTACAAGTGGGTCACTGTATAATGGATGATATTAAATTTGAATTCAACGATATAATATCATTGTATAAGAAAAACGATTCTGAGCGGAGACGGTATGTCAGTCTAGGTATATGACATATTATATACATATCTATGGTACTAAACCAAAATTTGACCTATAATAGGTACCTATAATAAATTCCAAATTAATCATATCAGTATATCACAATATCCATTAGGTACTTATAACGCGTTATACATAAAAAAAAAGTGATACTATCATAGATATATAATAGTACACTTTAGAAGTTTCAAGTACCCACGAATAATATTATTCAATCACAACAAAATAACTAAAATAGTTATTCTAGGTTTTTTTAATGTAATTTAGTCCAAATTTGAATTTAAAATGTCTGTAAAAAAAACTGTGTTCATATATTTCTTAGAAATTTTTGGTTACAGTATGAACTATTTATGAGAACCTTTCTAATCCTTAGCTATAAAAACTGAACATTTTATAATTTATTAATTACAATGATTGATAATTTTCGATTCATTTTGATAAATTTTGTCAAAATTCGATCTTTAAATGCTTATAAAAAAAAATTGTGTCAATGTATTTTTTTTTCAATTGCTATTGTAACAATATATCAGGAGCCTTGTATTAAATTTTTACACTTTTTGGCTCAACAGATAAAACTTAATTGATATTTATAGAAAAAAAACTAAAAAAATTGAAAACTGAAAATGTCCGTAAACAGCTCAAAAAGAGTCAAAATATTTTAAAAATGTTATGGTGTATAGTAAATGCTAATTTAAACATTCAGTGAAATTTTCATGTATCTACAGTTGTTCGTTTTTGAATTGCAACAAAATAAGGAAATCGCTACATGAGAAATCGAGTGAATATCCAATGTTGTAAAAATTTGAATTTCAAACGCTCATAAAAATTAAATTTGACTGTCCGGTAGAGATTTTTTTATTGATAAAGGTAGACAAACTTA